GCGTATATAAACCACTGCAGCCTCCATATTGTAAACACAAAGTCATTAATATCAACATTTCTTAAATAAGATTTTAAACGGTCCCAATCAGTCCGATAATGCCAGTGTTTTTCCTCGTTGTAGGTTACACTATTTATGAGTGTTCTTGAGTCATGACAGAACATTTCAGGGTCAAAAACAGGCAAAAACATTTTTGGAAATTGTCTGTCGTGTCGTTGTAATTTCTCGCTTGAAGTGAATCATTAATGAATTTCAATGAATTTTCAACAGACTGGCGCATGCGCACGCCAAACGGCCCCTTGTTGGCGGGGAAGTGATAAGAAGCTAGACAAGCTGGGTGTGTTGTGGCTATTTGTAAGCATCTAAGCGACTTGAAGAGGAGCTTCACCTTTCACCGGATGTGGGACTACCTACGTATAGTAGTACACTAAATACTTTCTTCGCAATGGATTTTGTAGCATTCAAGTGGATAGGTCATGCCACAGGTCTGTCCACAGCAACACGGTGAAAGGCTCAAGCTATTTAATGTACATAGCGCCATATCTTGMGCTGTTGCAAGTGCTTCTCTTCGAACTGCTCTAAGTCTTTCCCTCGCAAACAAAAGCCTTGGGGCAACAGCTTTGCATAGGTAGTCGAATYCCAAGCTGGTATATTGCGTAACGGGTTTSACGTAGTTTTTAGTCAAGTCTCAGGCTGGCATGTTGCGTAAAGAGTTTTACKTAGTTTTTAGTTAAATCTCAGTCTGGTATGTTGTATAAAGAGTTTTACKTAGTTYTTAGTYRAAWMTCAKKCTGGTATGTTGYRTAAAGAGTTTTACGTAGTTTTTATTCGAGTCTCAGGTTGGCTTCTCACGTAATGAGTTTAGGTTGTTTTTGGTAAAATGTTCAAATGTCAGGCTTGTATGTTGCGTGTTCATTTTATGCATGACTTATTTTTCTCTCATCTTGAGGTTAAATTGCATGATGCATTACGTGAAATTCATATGAGAGGTCGTGTMCGGCACTATTAAATTACATGAACTTTGACACTTATATYAWTTTTTTTCCAATTTRCGCGTTATATATGACTTTGAAAGCTGCACAGAATCKAACTTAAATACTGTGCTATTGATGTTATAGTCATCGTTGAACGGGAAATCTTCTAAAAAACAATCTTCAGAATGTTCAAGCATATTTACATCAATTGCATCAATGGGAATGGACTCGAAGATACTGTCAATTTGAATTGAAGAAAAATCTGATAGCTGAAWATGGTGAAAGAGAAACAGCTGCTGCTTTGTAAACAGTTAGACAATTTTTCTCCCAATAATGCCAAAGCATTGGTCTCAACATCCCTATCCACTGGGGCACGTGGGTCATTGTTTCTTTTTTCTCTCAGGCCAGAATGGTTGAAATCCTCTATGGCAAATATAATTTCTCCAGTGTGATTACATCGGACCATTCCAAGCTCACCTCTCTTAGCAAAAGAAAAAAAATCAAAATTTTTGACTTTAATCCTTAACTTCTAGATTTACTCCTCAGTTTCTATATATACTTTGGTATTGGGCCATGAGTCATTGTGCATCTTTAAGATGTTTCGATCGTAATAAATAGCGTTTCGCGCGTATTTTTAAACTCCAACTACGTCGCAAATTTCGATTTAATTGCACTCAACTTTTCACAGAAGTCAAACTGATCATCGATAATTCTTGTTGATAAATTAATTTTCCAAAAAGCGAAGCCATTTGGATAAACGATGCAAAATAAAAACAYCTTCATTTTTCTTCAAAATTAATTTTCTCGAAACTCATCGCAGAGATTGTAATAAAATTTTCAGAATCATTTCTTAATAACATAATTGATATACTGACGAAGTTTCAATAAAATCTTAACCTAAAATGTCGATTTGTTCGAATGTACATCAGTTTGCTCAAACAACTGGTCTTTTAATGTAATTTCCTCCACTTTTTGTATAAGACGTTTTGAGTTTGCCTTAAGACGTTAAGCTGCCTCGATTTCTTCAGTGTTCTTTTGTAGTTTCATAGCCTTTTGGCGTGAAAGGTGGTCATATGATGTTTTGCCATTAACATGATTGTTAATCTTTATATTGTTATTTTTTTACAATCATTACTTTTCGTATACAGAACACTAAAAAAGTATATACAACTACATGCGAGAAATACAAACGATGCTGTACCTATCATATTTAACATTTTATATATTTTGCGCAGAGTGAAAAAAAAATTATTTCCTTTTTGGATGGCTATCTATATGCCTTAAATAAGAAATTACATTTATGTTCTAATTCAAAGGGCTCAAACGAACGTAAATTATTTTCTACCTAAATTCCGTGTAAATGCAAAACAAGACAACAAATGATGGTTGGATCAGGGTCCTTAAATCCTTGGCACTTGAAACTCCTTGAAAATTTGAAAATTTCGAAGAAGTCCTTGAAAACTCCTTGAAAAAGATGGATCTCTTTCACGAAGCGCTAGCGACCTCTGAATTATTCCGTTCGGCTGAAGTTTTGAGATAAGAATCTACAATTAGCATGATTTTGATGCTCCTTGAAAATACAATTTTGGTCCTTGAAAAAGTCCTTAAAAATCCCTTAAATTTTGTTTTTGATACTCTGCACGGACCCTGTTGGATGCTCAGGCAATCCAATTACAACAATTTATTAGATCATTACAATACAATGAATAACATAAGACTGATCAAAGACCAAAATTATTTGATATAGCAAGTCGATTGGCAGT